GTAGGAAATCGTTTTGTGGCTTGAGGCGTAGTGCTTCAGAAGATGCACGATTCTTATTCCCTACACCAGTTTACTCGGACAGTGGCTGGTGCCTGGGAAATTGACATCAGGGTAGACGGCTCAGCGTATTTCCCTCACTATAAAAAAATCTGACGTGCTTGAAGCAATCATGGTGCGCTTAAAGCCCTTCCTCGGAAAGTTTCCAATTGACGGGCTAACTCGAACCGCAAAGTCAGTCTAATTTGTGCCTGCGTATTGAAATTAAGACTGCAATGGCTCCTCTTTTAAGGTAGCTTTTATGGCAACCCCACGCCGTGGGAGCCGAGCCAGGTGCGGCAGTCCGTCTAGGGGCGGCTCCGGCTACACCAGCCATCTGCGATCTCTCATGTCTTCGGTCTCCTTGACGTGGTCATGACGTTGGGCTCAGGAGGGGGGAAGGGAGGGAGGGGGAGATAATACCCTAGATGCCGCGCAAGTCTGTTCATAGTATAATCCAGTTCACGTGCAAATCGCCGTCCCCACACCACATTAGATACAAAAGTCAAACGTACGATGACTAACTGGTTCGCATTAAAATCGTTAGTCTTAGTCCTGGGACTGAAAACAATTAACTGCTACTAACAAATAAGCCAGACAAGATCCTTCCGGTTTGCTTCTGGTTTGCCATTTTTTGGTTAATATAAGTATAATATAAGACCAGGGGAGAATGGTTTTATTTTCTTCACCAGGCAGTCTTAGCCCATCCAGTTGACACTGACAACCAGATAGAGGCTAAAACAGGGTCTTTTCGCTTCAGTACCCTGCACCTGTCAAGTATCTCGCAGTTCCAACCTGGATGCATAGTCCCGACGGCTGGAAGCTTTTTTGAAGTAAACCCCGTCTTCTTTATCTCCATCCTGCTTTTCATGGTCTTCTTGTTCTTTATTATCTTCTTATTATTGCACTCAATCTTTTCCTTCTGCTTCATCATCATCTTCTACGACCACTCCTTCTTCTCACTCCGACTTCATTTACACAAAAGACAATGAAATTGTTCTGGTGACGCAATAATTGATTGGGGCAATTGAATGCGACTGACTGTTTGCGTACCTTAGGACAAGTAAGAGTTTGTAATTCTCTCTCTAATTCGCTGTATTACGACTGGTATCTCTACGCTCACCTTTTAGTTCTAACCTATCAACTATAACTTGGATCTGGAAAAGTAAAGGTGGGCTGCTTTCCCAAAGGCTCCGGTATGTAGTCGGTCAGATAATTAACAACTGAAGGAATAACTGTGGATTCCAGTGTTATCTTCAACAAAAGAATATCGAGAAACAATTTGTATAAAAGAACGGATGCTGAAAGTCATGGCAATGATCACAATTATATACTTTATCCATCTATAAATCATTTAAAGAATTTCTGACTTTCTATGCGCCAATCCGTACGGATCAACTCAGTCGATTATCGGCTAGGATGCATAGCGTAAGCACAATCAACTGAATCACGCAAGACATGTGTTTGTATGAAATGGAACGGAGGTTGGACTTTGTGTTTCTTACCGAGGCTGCGAATCCCGAACTTTCTGAGACGTCCGTACAGGTATGAGCAATCAGCAATGAGAATTTTTTATAAACAAAAACTAGGAAGGCTTTAATAGTCGTAAATGATTCATTTTAAATCATCGGTTAGATGCGTTCTAACTCTGAAACTGTAGGAGCTGCTATTTTTGTATCCCGATCAGTTGGCTGTGAAACATCTGCGTCGGATGCTCTATCATCTTAGGCACAGGTTCACACTCTGTTGACTTTCATAACCAGCGGAACAAGTATTCGTGATCTCTAATCCTTGTTAGACGGATCAGTGCATCTGCTCTTGGAGCTGCGGAATCAAAGACCGGATGGAGACATTTCAGCCGCCAAAACCTTAATAAACAAACTGTTGGTGTACAAGAGGGTAAAATCGCCGATGAGCGTGGTTCGCATGGGTCAGGGGCGCTAATTTGGCTGTTTATGAGTGCCAGCCGTTGGACTCCAGTACTGTTGCTTGATGTAATAGGTAAGGAACGTAAATTGGGCTTTGTCTGCGTATCAGCTGTGT